AAGCAACCTTCCCATAAGCAACATTCACTCGGGCCTTGAAGACACCCAGGTATATACCCTTCTTCAGGAAACACAGACTCTGGCAAAGAATACTTCTCCTTTGCGGTATTATCCTTATATCATAAATAAGTTACCATGATAACTTAATATACACTACTAAATTAAGTTCTAATACACTTGACTCCAAGATAAGACACTATCAAGAATTATAATGAGAAATATGTCATTAAAGCAAAGTGTCGAAGGTGTTTCTCCTGCAATTGCTGAGCAATTTGTCGCGTCAAATCACATCAAACGACCTCATTACCAAGGTTTCCTGTGTGCCGAGCGCTGAGGTATCGAGACACGCCTTGTGACCGAGCCTTAGTTTATTACTCACACTATAGTCACCTGTTCGTTTAGAATAATGTTATATTTTTCAAACTTACTTACTGAACACATTAATTGTCTATTACCCTTAATAAAATAATCCTATTCAGGAGATTTTTGCAGAAAACTCGTGGTTATTGAAACGTCGAGAAAATTTGTCACTCGTCTCTGTTGGTCTGATGTAAATTTTAAATATGTGACCTAAAAATCATTTGGGTACTTTGTTGTCACGATGATTATTCAGTATAGGTACTTCATATCCACACATCAATTGTGGTATTACAAAGTCAGCATTAAAATCTGTTTCTACTATCAACGGAACGATAAGAATACACGTGCAAACGATAAAATTGTAGACAAACTAAGTAGGTACTAATTTAATTAGACATAAGTATGAACAAATTCATGAAACCGATTAAATTGAGGTAATTAGATACATTACTTCTAACTCAATTAAGATTCTTTGGGGCTGTGCTAATCCTGGCTCCTTATTCAGGGAAGTTACCCCGTAGCATCATAAAACTTCGTTGAACACTGATAAATCGCTTGGTGAAGTGTAAAATCTTGTAATAAATTAATTAAGACGTACTTACCTAATTAGCCATCAAACAAAATCGTGCCAAGCGGCCGGTATATACTTCGCCGAGGGTGCCTTATTTTACGGGCCTGTTAAAGTCTTATTGTTGAACTTTAGAGCTCGTAATTCCTTCGCGGCAATTACTGTCAGTTTGGAAGTAATATTACAATGCACTTTGTAATAGATGCACGTTATGAAACCAATCTGTAGTGTTTAACGACCACTTAGGCACATAAAACGTACAGTGGTATGATTTATTATGCAAAATTTACAAAATGTGTCTAGATGAATTTTCTTCTTACTTTCTGTCCTCATAATAAAGTCAAGGGTACATACACTAGGGAACACATGTTCTGCGACACGTATTGCCAGGAACGTCGGCCGAAGTAGCGCGACTTTGCCAGACTTTGGTCGACATATCTGGCAATATCAACGTCTCTGTAGACATAAATTGCGCGTTGTCACCATATGTCAGCAACATAAAAATTAATTCACTATTATAGATGTAGTAGCTTTTAATAATATTATAATAATTTTATAACGCTAAATGTCACTCTGGCACCCTACCCTTTCACGCGGAATAAAGCAACGCTGCTTAGTGGCGGAAGTAATTTTGCTGCAATAGGTAGGCGCACATTCATACAGGGTCTTATTAACCTATTTACTATCAGGTGTATACAAAATGAAACTGTATTTATAAAAATATATTTCTAGAAGGTAACTATTTGTTTTGCGACTTTGTCGAATAATGGCGCTTATATTACTTTTGGCGCCTGATTATAAATTAATAGCAATATGTTTAACGGTAACTATAAAGCATATTGTTGTAGGCGCCAATTAGTAGGAATTTACAACTATACATTCAGAGCGAAATTATTTAAATTAAGTAGTTAAGTAGCTTGTTGTAAATGATTTTATGTGAATCTTACTCTGTGGTCCACAAATAAATTATACAATTTGGCATAGACAGACAGATGTGTTGTAAAATTTTTAATTAAATTGATAGTCATTAATTTAGTTACAATCAAGAATCCTGATATTAAGGATTTTATTTATGAAATTTTCGACTTATTCGTCAACTCACAAGTAAAAAACCCACGCATGCCCGTGAGTCGGCACCTTTCTACTTTGCCTATATGATATCGTCACCTCGCTGAAATAGATAAAACTACTACTTTTGTTCAGTTGGCAACAAAATTATTTATAACATTACGGCACTAGGACTTCTTTACTTAGTAAGAGGTGTTTAAAAAGGAGAGAATAGGTGGATTTCGTTGACGAGTTGACAAATGAGTCAAATTTTGTGGGAACTAAGTGTGCGTGAGCACAAACCAGGATGGAGTATAAACCAAGATGTTATGCCTGCCTTGTCTATGTCGTAGGATAATCTGATACTTCGAATCTTAGCGGAAATCCTAGGGGTTTTGCGAAAACGCGGATAATTAGACATAGGCGAAAAATTATCAAATCTTACTGGACAAAGTCAGGATTTTTGCGAAAATAATAAAATCAAAAAAAATAAAATCGAAGTATCAAATTATCCTACGACATCTACAAGGCATTATACAATTATATAGCGAATTGCATCAATATATTTCATCAGTTTTAAGATACTTATTTATAGATAGGTCTGACACCTGTCTTAGTACCTACCTACCTACTAACATTTTATCTTGGGCTTGAATAGTATATAGGTACTAATATAAATTTAACGACAGCATGCTGTCTAGAATCATAATTGAAGCGTTATCTTATCAATAAAAAATACATGACTATCGTTTCAGTAGAGTAAATGTTCTTGCTTCAACATAATGTTTCAGTCACTTGTTTTAGTAAATATTGCATTGATTTTTCTTATTAAAGTGTATTGCAAACTAACAACAGGAATATGTAGGAGCAGTAGACATTTAGTGGGTAAAGTGGCAATAGTTACGGGTGGAAATAAAGGTATCGGATTCGAGACGGCGAAAAACTTTGCTGAAAGAGGTGCTCGTGTTATTCTGGCATGCAGGAGCGAGGAGTTGGGCACAGTAGCGCGGGACGAGATCATCGCAGCCACCGGTAACACAGACGTCCACTACCAACATCTTGATCTTTCCTCCCTGGCTTCGGTAAGAGCCTTCGCTGCTGGTGTAATCAAGACCGAGAAACGCCTCGATATACTTGTCAATAACGCCGGTGTTTATGAAATGCCAAACGAGAAAACAAAGGATGGACTACTACTTGCCGCACAGACTAATCATTTCGGACCGTTTCTCTTAACCTGCCTGCTGCTCCCGCTACTAAAAACATCGGCACCTAGCCGAATCATCAACGTATCCTCGATGGCTCATCGACGTGGAACAGTTGATTTAGATAATCTTAATGCAGAAAAGGAAACTAGTGAAACCTTTAGTTATAGCAAAGTGTACGCTAATACAAAAATATATAATATTTTAATGACTGTAGAACTAGCAGAAAGATTAAAAGGAACGGGAGTCACTGCGAATAGTTTACACCCAGGAGTTGTATCCACAGACATTTTGTTGAAAATAAAATCAGGTTGGACTAGAGCACTGATGCCCTATATTAGTAAATTCTTTAAAACACAGTGGGAAGGTGCTCAGACTTCTATTTACCTTGCTGTTTCCCCTGAAGTGGAAGGCGTTAGCGGCAAGTATTTCGCTGACTGTCACGAGGCAAATGTGACAAGACTTGCCGAAGATCGAGATATAGCACGCAAACTCTGGGAGGTTTCAGAAAAAATGGTTGGACTTAAATAAATTGACAAAAATATTCACAAGAAAAGTAATTTATATGTTGTTTTATTTACCAAAATGCACTCATTCACCTTTATTATATTCCTGGTGTTACTTTTTTTTTATAAACAAAAATTAAAAATTACAATTGAAGTTCCTAACTAAATAATATTATGCATTCCTATTTTTGTATCGAAGCCAAGAAATAAGACTAAAAAGTTTTAAACCGAATTGTGTAAAATATAATAAATCACATTGATGTTGGCTCAGAATCTAATCTTTTGCTCACAAAACTTTGGCTATGAAATATCAGCAAAAGTTGTACAAATGGCATTCAAAAAGAGCTTGTATTGAAAATATCGAATATAGGCGACTTTGCGAATACTAAAGTTTTGAGCGAAACTTTACCAGATACTTCTTTATACGTTCCAATATTTTAAAATATAGTTAGACTGGGGTTTGTCATTTCATAGTTCTTTATATCTTCTTTAGTAATTCTTCGTAGATGGAAAGATAGCTGAGTAGAATGTTATGAAAGTATCCAATATTCCTTAAGTTCTCGAGTTACTTTGTTCAAAAGCTGCTGAATATTTGAGGTATTGGCCGGCAGACTTGTTGTCATGGCGGTGTTTTGTTGGTTCAGGAGACGGGTGGTGTCTCGGCGAACGTCCACGGGAATTCGATATTGCCTCAAGTGAAGCGTTCTAGCAGCATTGTGCACTTTTATTCGCTATTGTCAGTGTGAGCGATGCCACTTCGTCGTGCTCGGATGATTGCGGTATCGTATTCTTTCTTTAGAAAACACTTAGACGTGAAAAGGATTGAAATTCTAACTTATAAATATTGTTCCTTTCTTGGGATAACCCAGGGTAGGTATAAACCTACGTTATTTTCTCAGGATATTATAAGATTTAGAAATATGTAATGTATAGCAGAAGTTGTGTATAAGTAAATATCCAATATCTTTATCACGGGATGCACTGAAGCACTTGATGCTAAAAGCAGATATTGTTGTTATAAGTAGTTATTCTCACCAAAGGTATGCACAGGTAATAATTACATACATCACACATAATTTTCCATTCTGAGTACGTGTCTGTAACTGTGGAATTATATCCTATTATTCTAGTGCTTCAGTGCTATTATTATTATTGGTCAATGCTTATCAACTACTTACATAATTCACTACGGACTCTTTACATATCAAGTAGGTACAAACATATTTATTTCTATGCTATGGTTTCTACCACGCAACATGACAGATCACATTTTGACAGTATTTTAGTGATGTCAGGCAAAGCATGTTAGACCAAATCCACAAATAATAAAATTCATATGAAACAAATTTAACGTCAGCATGAGTCTTATACCAGATGCTCCTATTCATGAAACATCATACTTTTGGAGCTGTCTCACTTTACAAGATGATTGCCCATTCTTTTCATCTGCTGATCCAAACTTGTACTACTTTGCTATCACGCTGGTGTGCCTTTACATAGGGTTTGTGCTAATGATTCTTGCTGACTTAAAATTTTACTGGTCTGTGGATCATTTCCAACGACAAATTGATTATTACGTAAATCTGGTGCGAAAAAAAGTAAGGCATGTCCAGTTGGATCAAAGAAGATTGATGTCGACACAAGAGAGGACTGAGAAGCAGTTGAAGAGAAGTGAGGAATGCAGGCACATGGTGACCGGCATCAGAGGAGCTCTGGCCACCGATGATCCGCAGCAACTAAATGCTTTAACAACCTATTTCGTTGACACAAGACCTCCCAGCAGGAGTACCTGGAACGTAAGCTAAAACATCATTAATTTTTCACCTGAATGACTCCATCGCATCCGGCCCCTATCCACAAATACAAAATTATTTTCAACGTTGGACGACGGAATTTCTGTCGCTTGTAGTCCCGTTATATTTTCAGCTTCTCGCGCAGATATCTGGATCGAAGGCGAGTCACTGTTTGCTAAAGCGAATACCTTTTATATTTTATCCTTCACACTATGTCACTACGTCTGATGTAAAACTCCATCCAAGAAACTCTTATCGAAGATACACTTTTATGACCACTATGACGTGATGAAGTCATTTTAATAGTTGGGAACTAGAATACAAAAATTAAATCACAACATTTATAAAATGAAATTAACAAATTCACTACTTACTTCATTTTATCAAACAAGAATTTGTGAATTTTCCGTTTCAAACGTCTGCACAATAAAGTTACGCAAGTGAGAACAAAATAAGTACGTAAAGAGTTTTATCTATGTTTCCTTGACTTCCAGCAAACTTATTTAAAGTTTCTTGTTGTTGAAATACTTGTACCTCTAAGTTGACTCATTCCGATACTTTGTGAACATAAACGTTTCTTCGTGAATGAGACGTTTGCTCGGCACAGACTAAGTAGGTTAAATATGTTATAACTAATAATGTTTCATAAAATATTGCAACGGTGCAGTAAAAATATAGGGTGAAATATTTCTAGATAGTTGTAGTTGCTCTAAAAATATCGATAAGCGAAACGTAAAATATCGTAGCAAAGTGCGAGGTGTGAAAAATCGGAGCAGAACGAGATTAAACTATCGCGTTCAAATATAACTTGTTCTGCTGAAGTTAGAAATATGAAACGTGCATGTGAGCATGAATGGAATTATTGTAGATGTAAGTCCAAGTATCTGATTTGGAACGTAAATTCTCCAAACAAATGTTGTACCTGCGATGGCAACTTTCTCATAAGTAAATATTATTTAGGTAAATATTTGTTATAAGAATATAAATATTTAGTTAGAAATTACACACATATATTATTATGAAATTTTTAAATAGTTGTCACTTTATAAGGGTGGTTCATCATTAGGATACGTCTATAGCCTGAATAATAATATAATTTATGATATTGTGCAAAGCATAAACCAGCATAAGAAAGACATAGAAATATTACTCACTGTTCTATCGTGTATAGATATATTAAAAGTAAAATCTCTAACGTTTTCACACAGTGACATTTAAGGAAATAATCATGGTTGAACACCGTAAAATGTTATGGTACGAGAAATGTATATAAGAACCATGTCGCTTAGTAATTTTCCGACCATAATAATAAGGCAAATGACCTTAAAAATAGATTAGACATACTTGGAAGACATAGTCGGGAATCCGCGTTTCCTGCATTTACTGCAAAGACGAACTATTGGAAGAAAAACTCCAATAACAAGTAGGAAAAGGAAGTTCTTTATGTTCTTTTATTGGTCACTAGTTTTGCGAGAGAATGTGAGGTTTTATTATTATGTTGGTTTCAAGATCGATAAACCTATGATAGATAATTTAATTCCCATTACCTACAATTCCTACTAGTGAATCCTCTTTATTTTATTGAAATCATGACTTAACCTTAAGATTATTATAAGAATTTCTTTGCCTGCAGAAAGTTTAATTAAAATACGGGTTGCTTTAATACAGGACAGAAAACTGTATCAAATTGTTATTGTTGTCTTGTGTGTGGGTAACACTTAAATGTTTATTCTTAGATCTGAACTCAGAATTTGGTATCTAGAGACATTTTCTCATTATTATGTTTTTTGTTTCAGGCAACGAGACGATGTCCTCAGACAGATTCAACCGATTGGTTCTCCTAAACTTGTTTGTGAGATAAAATTATATACTAAAAACTAGCTTCGGAAATGAAACAATTAAGAAGAAGCTAAGCTGCGAGATTGCATCAAACAAACTTCTTGTTTCTCCTACAGCAAACTATCTTCATTACGCTGCATTCGTGTATCTGCTATCTAAATCGTATGGTAACATTGTTTTGTGACCACATTCGCGTTGCACATATCCCAAACTAGATTTTGTCCTATTCAGCAAAACACTTGGCTCTGTTCCAATGGCTTCCTTTACCATTCTAAAATTAATAAAATTCACAAAAAAAACAATAAACATAAGTAAAACAAAATTTTAGCTGTTTTAATACATTTATTTCACACAAACACACGAACTGTCATACATCTCTAATAAATAACCCTAACTTACCTATTTGTTAATTTTATACAAAGCTTTGGTTACAGTAGTTACTTCCAAACAATATAGTAGTTACTAATATTAATCTTAAATACGAACATACACTACAATGTTAAACTACAATTACTTTGGTGTTACTCGGTGGCCTTAATGTCGGCAAAGAACAATGAACAAAAATGGTTTCAACGAAAACTTAACATAAAATTAACAAACACAGCCATGATCAAAATTTAACAATAATATCACAATCAAACTTAACAACAATTCAACGCTTACAACTATGTAACATTAACAATATTTAATCGTTCAACAAAATTATACCAAATGGTAAAAACAATAGGTGCATAATGACAATTTTATCCCCGTTTATGTTTTGTACTCAGTCACTTTGGAAACTATTGGTTGATGGGGTGTAATTTAATTATGAGCTTAACAATGCAATTTATTTTCAGCGTTGCGTGTATCGAAATACCGAAATTAACAACATTGAGTATGGTTATAATGAAATAGGCCGTAACAAAACGATATTAAAGGGACAAAATAGTCACTAGGCTGAAATATTCAACAGAGTCGTATTAATATTGAAATTCCAGCAATATTGTACGTCACTGTGATAACAAAACAATGCGTCCATATAGGATTCCGACTACATTGGTCAGAACCCTATAAGAAGGCAACACAACAAGATACAAAAAAAATGAAACAATATTAGGCACATTACGGTGATAAGGCACGATGTGATTGTTTCAAAACAAGACAAACTTAATGAACAACAATAATTAAGTATTAAGGAGAAACGACGTGAAGTTACTTAAAAAGAGCACCTTGCCAAAGAAATAGAAAAGAAACTAGAAAATGACAGAAAAAAATTGAAATGAAATAAGGTGCGTCGACAAAATTATAAGTCAGATAGAAGATATAACAATCAACGAATTCAGTCAAAAAGAAATTAAAAACAAAACAAAAACTGAACTTGAAATTAACAGCGAAATCAACAATTACACCAACGTAACAATTAAACAAAAACTCAACAAGAAATTCCTTAATAGAATTACTGAGGTTTCAGGCTTCATCGTTAACAGGAATTGAGAACAGAGAAATCAAACATTAACATATCTTTCAATGGAAATTATCAAAAGATATCCTTTCAACTGATTAGTGTGGTAAATACTGAAGTAATACCAAATTTTTATAACAAAATATTTGTGAAATTCGTAGATTAATAATCTTGGATTAAAATCGACATTAACAAGAATTCTGATAAAGTTCCAATTGTTACAAATTCAATTTTTAACGGTTAGCAGAAGATTAACAAAAACAGTTGATGGTAATAACAAAAAAAAAACTTAACTGGAAAATAACAGTCAATTCAACAAAAGCATTAACAAAATAGAACAAGAAAATGAAAAAGCTAAGATAATGATTGAGGCGGAAAACGACAGTTAAAGATGAAAATAAAAATTAATACACTGAAATAAAGTCAACCTGCATAAGGTTACTTTCAATAGAAGTCAAAAGTATTATGAAAACTAGTATCATGTTGGTAGTAGTTCATAATGGGTTTGTGAACTGGATAAGTTTCGAAAAACCCAAATGACAGGAATGCGATTCGAACCCCGAAAAAATCAACTCACAGTAGCGATTCTATACAAAGTTAGTTACAAGAATTGACATTCAAGTCAATTGAATTCTCAAAACCCTCCTTATTTTGCTAGATGGACATGGCTAGAAAGTTAAAAACAAAACAAAAACAATAACTACAATTTAACAGACAAATCAATAGCAACTTGAATTTACGTAACAACAAAAACTTAACAAATCTGAAATTAATGAACAAAATTGTTTTATTATTATTGGGCATTGAATCAATGTTCAACTGTTCCGAAATATTGATGATATTATTATCTTTACACAGTAAATCCGTCTTGCAGCAGATCTGTGTGTAGTTGTCTCACACTTTATTTCAGCACAAAGATGATCAACTAAATTGTAACAACTTAGCGTAAATGAAAATATGGTGTACGCCAAGTACTAAAATAACTCTGACAGATGTTATTTCTATTCTGTCAGGTATGGGAATTAGTTCCACTCTGTAGAAGTGTATGTGATTAAACAAAACTTTATCGGTAGCAACAGTCAAATGAACGATGTTATGGTTCATAAGTGCAATAGTTACAGTAATTGTGATGATAATAGTGATGTCATTCAAGTGTCACCGCGTTCCCTATTTAAAGCGTTCACCCAAATTCACTTTCGCTAAATATAGCTACATTTTAGATGTAGATTCAAAATGTACTACTATTTAAAATATATTTTAAACTGTAACATTTTAAGCTCTCTTTGGAGTGTAAACTCATCGAATTGATTATTTAGACACCACTGAAGCTGCAAGACGGACGCATACGGAAAATGATGTTATAACAAAATCAAAACTTAACTTGAAATCAACAACTGTCTAACAAAAACAAACAACGGTACTTATTTCTCAAACAAAAAATCAACGTTAACAATTTTTCGAACACATTTAACTGAATTTTCATGACAGGTACTTGAGCATATTTTAACAAGAAACTTTGCTGCTTTTAAGTCTTCGAAAAATATTCGTAACAACGGTTTTAAAACAAAAATTCAACGTTTTTTCAAACAAAAACTTAAAAATACTAATCAACAATAACAACGTTTCCAGACCAGCTGGTTTGTTGCTAATTAAAACAAAAATCAACATATTTACAAAAACAAGAAACATGAACACAACGATTGTGGTACAGCCTAGAATTATTTTCTGAATTTAAACTTTGGTCTTCATATTTGGCATATGAAATCAGATAAATATTTGGCAGCTACGATGCATTGTTTCCAGAATATATTAATTTGAATGTAAATATTCGTGAAATACTAGCAGCTGCAAGTGCGAACGCTGAATTTTAATCTGTAGCCGAAATTAACAGAAAACAACAACGTACTTTAGAATCCAACAGATGTAACGAAAGCAAAAACAGACTCAAAACGTGAACAATTGAAACAGTTGCAAACAAAACATGAAACGTAACTAAGTTTTGACAACAACACCGATCATTAAGGCACTTTCGGTTCAAATGTGAACACTATTATGCTCTTAATATTTGCCGCAAGTACTTATCTAATCCTATCCTAACCTTATTTTATGAATAATACCTAGTTTATACTAATTTTATGTACAAACATTACTGATGTATCCATAAACGTTTACTTAATTCCCTAACAATACGATATCCTAAAATATCCTATCCTATCTTTGGGGAGTCTAGAAATATTGTTTGTATTCACCTGAATTGATTAAATGTGGTTTCCTTTGGTTTATTCCGTATACAAGGGTGATTCTTTGATGCTGTTGGCTGCTAGCAGTCAATGACTTCAATAAGTTCCTCAGCATAAACTTCAATTTGGTTTTACCATTTGTATAAATATTTACAAACTCCACGTATCTCCGTGTTCACTCTTAACGTTCTACATATCTGTAACAAAAGTAGAACAGGAAAATTAATGAAAGCTAAACATTACACACTTAACAAATCAATACCAACAAAATTCTGCAATTAAAAAACATAACTCGATATATCCTAAATTGTCGACAAGTTAAATTACTTGAAGTTACTTACTTGTAGTGTTCGTGAAAGTAGAATTCGTCCGGACTTCAGTTTTGGAGACTGTTCCCGTTGTTCACAGTATTGTCCTTAATTTAACAGTGTATTAACAACTGATTTCAAACTTTTAATTGACAAAGTAACAACTTTGATTGGGAGTTGGTCCGGCAGTACCGGGGGCGCCGTAGCGCGACACCCCGGAGCTGTGCACTGTATCGCTTACTATTCGAATGTGACTCAACCAGCAGATTTTTGGCCCTTATATTTGATTCCCGAAATCCCTCCCCATTTGACCCGTGGGAGCGCGCGCGCACGTGGGCTCCTTGCGTAAGCGCACACAATGCTTCCCTATTCTTTGTACGCAATACGACGCATTGATTTCGTCCCCTCGAACGTCTTACCTTCTATCTGTTACCTGTACTTAGGGGAGAAATCCTGCCCGGTGGGAACTCGTGTAATCGTAACTGAAATTGAATTATTGTAGACGATTTTATAAGAGGGTTGGCTTATACTTTCACACGGTACGTTCTATTATTATGCAAATAGTGCAGGATTAACGTTCGCTGCATCAGAATTTGCCGTTACTGTATAATATGTTCCTACTTGCCTTATACTAATTAAGGTAACAGTCATTACCATACATTTAATGCCACCCTGTTGATGCAGGCTGAGCACTTGCAATATTCAGAGCTAATCGACAAAGTTCAGGTCTCTACGTAACATGTTTAGTAGGAAATAGTGCTGCAAAACACCCGCTTCAGCAATTTTGCTTAAATCGCGGTTCGAAGCCCTGGAGCTCTTGTCAATATAAATATTTTTAAACACACAGAACAGCGCTGCAGTTTCCTCTTGCAGTAATAATTCACCTCTACTTTACGGAACAGTTGCAAAGCAAAGAAATAACCACAGAACAACATCAAACTGTTTCGTCTATTTTCTTCTTCACCATTTTGTAGGTGCTCGATAAAATTGGTATGCTAATTCTTGTAAATCCCGGTATCAACTTTCTATAAAACTAAACTTATCTCTCGTCGTGGTGGCCCGGAGGTTTAAGACGCCCACTTCTCATGCATGAGGGTGCGGGTTCGAAACCTACCAACGGCAAGTACCAATGTGACTTTTTCCGAGTTATATGTACTTTCTAAGATTACTTAGACACCACTGACAAACGGTGAAGGAAAAACATCGTGAGGAAACCTGGACTTATAATTTCTAATTATAAGTTTGAAATCGCCAACCCGCATTGAGCAAGCGTGGTGATTAA